GAGAGAGAGAGAGAGAGAGAGAGAGAGAGAGAGAGAGAGAGAGAGAGAGAGAGAGAGAGAGAGAGAGAGAGAGATCGCATTGGGAAGTTCCCATCTTATTTGTTTTTGCGAGCGAAGCCGCAACAGGTCATCTAGTTCCTTTATGGAAAGTGCTACCCAGTCTCCTCCTGCCTGGGCCTGGCTGCAAGTGCCCAGTAGCTTCACATTGGGCCAAAGTGTCTGCGCCCAGGCCCGTTCAGACAATGGCCTGCGCCGGTTAGGCGCGCCCAACAACCCACGTAGGCTGTGACGTGTTCCCTGCTTGCTGATTGGCCGAGAGGCCAGATTCCACGTCCAAGCATAGAAAAGCCTGGAAGGCTCTCGGATGATTCTGGTGCTCACGAGCTGGGCCTTAGCAGGCAACTGGCGCGTGGTAACTGTCTGGCGCCCGACAATGCAGAAATGACAAAAGTGGGGCCTTCACTTAGGGTGGGCATCGTACTTGGTCGGGGCCCCTTAGGCAGTGGCAAGCCACGGCCAAGTGGCCTATGTGAGGCTCATTCATTGCACTTTGTTTGTCCATTCATTCATTCTTTGGTTACAATTGATCAACAAAGGAGAGGAGGAGGCCGTGATAGTGATGATGAGGTGCGCATGTGGAGTTAGTATTTGTGTGCTCTTCTCCTTCTCCTTCTTCTCACTCTAATCTCCGTCTTTTCTCTCATCTACTTCTTTCTTCAGTTGCGATTCGTGGCATCGTCTCAAATTTGAGTTTTGTATTATGATTGCACAATGGAGTATAACTCACCTGCCTTTTCGTTTATTTATTACAGGTACTGAGCCTGGAGGACCACCTTGCTATCCTTGCCAACGCACGACCAGCGAACACGCAGAGCATTATGAAGCTTCTTATGCAATCTTTCTTTGAGAACCAAAAGACGGTATGTGTGTGTCTTCATACTTATCAGGCTGGTCATAAACTTTTTTTTTTAAAAGGGCGGCCCCACGCTCTGTAGCAGTGCAATATAGAGGCAACATTGGAGGAGTCTAGTAAGAGGGCCCATGTAGCCTCCTTTGCCCAGAAAAAAATAACTTAGTATTGTGTGGTCTGGTGGACCACAGATCAGATATTGAACTGATCAGAACATATATATTGTCACATAACTATGAACTAAAGGAGCGCACTTTATGAAAGAAAGGATAAAAAACAAAAAACAAGGGCACATTGAAACCATTCAATTTCTCTTCTACACTGTGCCTCTCACGTACAAGGCTCACCACGTTGATGAAGTTGAGCGCGAGCTGCCTTATCCCCGTGTGCCATAACGTCCCACTTGTACGCTGTGAGAAAGAGGCAGAGTGAAAGGGGAGGGGATAAACACAGGGAAGAGAGATGGAGAGAAGACAAACAAAGAATGATAAAGGGAAAGTAAGGAAAAGTGCGGAGTGTGGAGTGAAGATGAAGGCAAAAGAGGATAAGAAAAGGCTCAAGTATGAGTCTGTCCTTGACGACAGAGAGCACATACATTGTAAGGACGAGGTGGATGAACACATGGAAGACCTAGCTGAGCATTCTCAGCACAACAATTGCCACAACGGCTGGCATTGAGCATGCCCACCATACACCCCCGACAAATGGCATGTCGATTGCAGGCCAGAATGAAAGAAGAACGGTCACCACAAAAGACCATGCATTCAGTATAGCGCCCATGGCCGCAATATGGACATATAGTGTCTGGATGCGGAGGGTGCCTGTAGTCAGGAACCGGAGGGACAGTCCTCTGCACACATAGATGTTGAAACCATGTCATTGTAGTGATTGTGACTGAGATGATGGCGGCCACATGAGTGAAATAGTGTTTGTACCCATGCAACGGAGAAGGTTGAGGAATATTCTTCGCCATAAAAGAGATTTCGGACTGTTTGTTGTGGCAAGAAAACAACATCATTATGTAAGAAATCAGTGACATCAGTCATGACATGGACCATGGTGCCATCGTCCCACAGCTCCCAGTGGTCAGAGGCATTGTGGCATTCTGAGCCACACGGGCCCCAGACAGGGCCCGGTTCCCAGTAGGCAGGGTAGGCCTAGGGGGATGACGGTTCAGACCAGGCCCAGATAGGCCAGAGGCAGGGCACGTTTAGGCCCAAACGGCCAGAGGCCGGTACCGGTTCAGATTAGAACCTACCGGCGGCGTTTCAGAGGCTGCCCAGAGTTTAGGCGCCAAGTCCAGTTTGAATCTGGACCGTTGATCCGATCAACGGTCCAGGCCGGTAGGTACCAGTAGGCAAGAGGCCGGCCCAGCACTACAAAGGCTGGGTACCAGCCTCAGTCGGAGAGTTAGTATGGACGGGGTTAGTCTTCAGGATTAGCGCAGCAGCCCAGCGTTAGCTCGATTAGCGCAGCGCTGCAGCAGCAAGGAGCAGCGAGGGAGCAAGGTTCAGCGGAGAGCGGATTAGCGCAGCACTGGGCGCCTCGCCAGTTACCGGCCCAGCCCCCCTTTGCAGCGCCATAGCCAGGTACCAGGGAGGAGGCTTCGCCTTCTCTCCCTCCTCTCCTCTACCGTTTCTCTCTCTCTCTCTCTCTCTCTCTCCTCCTACCCTCTCAGTCTAAGTCTACTTCTACTTCTCCTACAGGACTACTGCAGTATGGGAGATGGTTACGAGTTCTGATGACATCTGAGACAGCGACATTGGGACTACGAGTTGAGGACTATTTGGGGATCTGATTTCATCTTCCTTCCGGAGAGGTACTTGACATTGTGAGATTGATATCTGAGACATTGTGAGACTTGGCATTTGCGACATTTCGGATTTTCGTCATTTCTGACATTTCAAGATACTATCTTTGGAGACATTGAGTTGACGTCATCTTCCCCTCTCCTCCTCCTTTTGTCTCTCCCCCTCTCTCCCTTCGTCTGTGGATGATCTCAGTCCCTGGACTTTGGTCTATGTCTGAGGCCAGGGCATTCACACCCCTGATGAATGTTTGAGAGTGTTCGATTGCAGTCCGAGTCAGGTCTGAGTCATTCCAAGGTATCTCAAGCCTTCCGCTTGCATTTGTATTAACTCTGTATTATCTGGTCGGTTCTGGGAATCTGCACCATACTTATGACTGTGTTTCACGAGTATGCAACATGCATGTACAATGACCATGTAATGGCCAGGTCCGTCCACAATGCAGACAGAGATGTGGGATGGAGGATTAAACCACTCACCTGCTCGAGCATTGCATAGTTCAAGTTGACGGTCCCTCATCGCTACTTGCAGGACAGCAGTGGTAAAGCCTCCTTCCCTAGTATAATTACAATACTCTGGCTGTAGTTGGGGAAGATCAGTATCAACTTATCAAGCTGAAGGGCGATTGCGCGGAAGTCTGACGGTGTATAAAACGGGCGGTGGAGAATGTGAAGACAGACATTAGTTGCCGTCAGACCATAGAGAGTCTCAGGCTGGTGTGTTGGATGGTGGCCAACAATTTGCAGATCACCCAGATGGTGTTGCAAGCCCAAACTGTTTTGTGTTGTTTGCTGGTCAGTCATTTGCAGATCACCCATGTGGTCTGCGCGTGGCGGGGCAGAAATTTGCGGTTCATCCGAACACTGCTGGTCAGCCTTTTGCAGATCCCCCATGTGGTCTACGCTTTTCGTTAAACCACCACTAAGTAAGGCTCCCCAGTTTAAACCCCTTTAAGCCCCATTTATAGCCCCCTTCCTCCCCCTCCAACGGACAACACTGAAGAACAAGACACACACACACACACACACACACACACACACACACACACACACACACACAGAGAGAGAGAGAGAGAGAGAGAGAGAGAGAGAGAGAGAGAGNACACACACACACACACACACACACACACACAGAGAGAGAGAGAGAGAGAGAGAGAGAGAGAGAGAGAGAGAGAGAGAGAGAGAGAGAGAGAGAGAGCTTCAATAATGTATAGAGTACATACATCTTGACTTGTGTCCTTACTCAGCAACACAGAAGTTTGTCAGAGAAGTGATTCTGATTCCTCTCCCTAAATGGTTGTAAGTTTCCCTATCGTCTCAGTAGGTTTTTGAGTTGCAGATGCCATTTGCATGCCCTTTATGCTCTGTTTCTCTGTGTTTGCCGCGTGTGGACAGGTTTCCAATATGGCACAGAAGCTAATCGTGCTGATTGAGAAAAATCCAGCAGCAGCTACAATGTTTTGTCGATGTTTGAAGGTTTGTTTGTTGGGTAATGCCTTTGTGAGCTTTCACTTGGGAATAGAGGGGAAAGGCCGAGGGCGTTGATTCTTCTTGCGCAATGAGCACTTGGCTTCCATTCATGCAAAATGCAAAACGTCCATGTTTAATAGCCAGTGTTCCCAGCACATTTCAGCGGCTTCCATGGCCTCATCAGGGGGATGCTCATTGCCTCTTCATTCTCATGTCTCCAGGCCTGCTGGAACAGCTGAGTACTGTTGGTCCATCAACTCGGGTTGTGTTCTCAGTACGTTTGGTTCATTCATGATCTGTCTTCTTCTCATTGTTCTCACTGGTGCCGAGTTGTCAAGGTATGGAAAAGTCTACAAAACTTCATGGTTTCAGAAATTCAGATGCTATGGAAACATTCAATAAAACTAGCCTACTAATAGGACACTGGGCTTCAATTTTACCATAATGAAAACACTATAGCCTTCCACTGTTTTAAACTATCATAGCATTCCTACTCGGGTCCAAGCCTATCAAAGTCTACATCTATTTCCCCTCCGTACCAGCACTTCCTCTTGTGTTCTTCATGAACTCTCATTAATTTTCAACAGAAAAGAGGCACTACATCCCACTAGGGAATTTAAACCGCCAGTACATCCAAGCCACTTTTTCTCGGGGCTCGAAACACCCTGTGCACCAGAAAAAAAAAATGAACCGGCGCGGGCCTCCTTTTGGCTGGCGCGGCGAGCTATTTTTCTCCCGCGGCCGACCCCGAAAGTTGCAGTGTGCGCGCGATCCCCTTGGACAAAAATGGTTGGGCAACGTACAGGCCGTTTAAAAGGTATTATTGAAGGTTGATCTTGTTATCTATACACAGGGGCAATTTTCCACCCGGTGGTGGATGCCGACTGCCGACCTGTCGGCAAAGGCACACCGGCAGAGAAATTTCAGAAAATGACTCCCGGACCTTGTTGCACATGTCCTAAGCACCCAAAAACCGCTATTGTTACGGACTTCGCCAGGGCTCGATCCCTGGTCTATCTTTTGCTGTTTCGGCTGCATCCCGTTTTCGGCCTGGCACCCTTTTTCCAAACCCCTCCTTT